AATTATTAAAACATATATATATATATATATATATATATATATATATATATATATGTGTGTGTGTGTGTAATGACAAAAGAACATAACAAAATGACTAAAAATTAAACTAAAATTAAAACTGAAAATAAAAAATAAAAGCAAATTCAAAATATTAATACATAATATATAAATAATACTAAATTCATAAATCCTTATGGAGAACATGAACAGAAAAAAATATTTAGGAACCAAATGCGCCCAAAAGTGGGAGGTTACTGACATCTTACTTCTGTCTTCTCATTGGACAACAAGACAGTGGGATGATGTAAGAATACATTTGTAAATCGAATTAATTAATTTTTAACCACAGTATGAATGGAGATGATTGAAAGGACTCGTGTGGTTGTATTAAAGTTCATACAATTAGAAGCTTTTGCTTCTGAGGGTTTTCAGGTTTGGCTGAGAGTGTTAGTTTGTGATTGTGATGAAAGCAGTCATTCAGATGTGGCTTGGCATTTTGCCCAAGGTGCTCGTCTGAATTATATGCTGTTGATTGTTTAATGCTCGGTAATTTGTTATTAATGTTGGTCATTAGAGTGAAATTGTAGGGTAGCTTTTCAGAGACTGTTCCAAACCAAAGTGAGTTGAATGAAAAAAACAGCACTGAATGAGAAAATTTTGTTTAAAATAGGGATGGGAAACATTTGGGATCTCACAATTTGATTTGATACATGAAGTCACAATTCATTTTCAATTTCGATACATAGAAATCTTTTTTGGGACACATCGTTAAAACAACAGTTACGATATTATCGTAGGCGCTGCTGCACTGCCTGCTCACAGGTTGAGAATTCCATTTTTTATTCTGACAACATTATGTTGTTATGTAAAATTTACAAAATCAATCATCTGCACAAAGAATACATGCAACACTTCATGTGGCTTTACAGGGCTCCAGACTGCGACCAAATTTTTCTGCCGGTTCTACAAATTTTTGTGAGCGGTCGCACTGGCGCGACCACTGCATTGTCCAACTCATAAGCTTTTCAGCTGCGCAGCGGTTTAGCAGATCGCACCATGACGCAAACAAACTTGTTCGAGCTCAGAACAGCTTTACTCAGGAGCCAAAGTTGATTTTGCGACACTGTTACTGCACATATGCAACAGTGCTGCGAGATCCAGTGAGAAGCGTTTGAATTTGCTGCACAATGATAAGGTTGCTGCGAGATCTAGTGAGAATCATTCAAATTCTGCACAAAATTCTCTGTTATAAACAGCGCTGACATACATCAGGAAACCAGAAGCGGTAACGCTAACTGTAACCATGGTGTTGTGGTAGAAATAATCGAATGCATTACATCATTCATTTCAGGGTTTGTACAACCTTTTGAGAGACAAATTCATGCACTTTTCAATGACTTTCAAGCATTTCACACAGCTATTTCCGGCATTTTAAAGCTCTAAAATGATCCAGTTTGAATGTTATTTTTAATGGGATTACCAAAATATACTTTGTGGTAAACAAACACTTACGTAAAATTTAAAAAATACATCAAATCACAATTATAACCAGTA